AGAATTTCGACGTTGATCACCAAAAAATTTCGGAAAATACACTTCCCAATCGTTTAATGTGACAAATCGTTCGACTATTAACAATGAACTCATACTAATCCCGTGCATAATAAATTTTCTCTGATTTTATATTTGTCTTATTTTCATTATTATTATTTATTTCTTTTCTTTTCTTTTAGTGAGGTAATATTGAATAAATTTTATTTAGTGAGTTTGGGTAACGTACCTGACTTGAGTAGGGAGTGACAGCTAAAAGGGGCACCCACCAAGAAACATGATCAGAATACAGTGTGAAATCATTGTTTAGTATTGCTTAGCAAGGAATGATTAACGATAGGGAAAGATAGTTTTGAGAGTAAAGCATAAATATAGATTCGCGGAAATTGTTGTTGTGATTTAGTATAAGTAAATTGGAAGAAGTTGTAATAGCATTATTGGCATTAAATAAATAAATCATCACCTTCGAGACACAATCTCACAATATTAAAATTTCTGCCTCTACTCTCAAGTAAGACTCTGAGTTATTAATATTTAATTGCCCGATTGATTAATTAATTCATTAGAATTGGATCGATAAAAACAATTCACTTAGTCAAAAGGTGACATTATTTAGATTTTTATGTTAATCTTTTCTTTAAAATATATACAGTATATAAATGATAAAATATTAAATGTATAATGTGAATATAAAAGATTAATAGAAATACGAATATTGTTAAAACAAAAGAGGCTAGATCATATGTCCGACATACGATTATACAGCACTCCGATTAATCCATTAAAGTTTCATCTACAGTCTAGGAGCTTCGCCCAGAGTTTAGGGCAACTTTTAAGTTTCATCACTAGTTAAGGCCTAAATTCCTAATTTCTGCGGGCGAAACTATTTCGAATTTGCTAAAATAATTTCGGTCACCGTCATTAAAATATATCAGATGACTTTTGGTAAAAGTAATGGATGGAATTTAATATTTCGAATATCTTGAATAGTAATAGTAATAGTAATAGTAATAGTCGTAAATATTTCGGATAGTCATAAACATTTCAAACAGTCATAAACATTTCGAATATTCGAATATCAATTATGAATATTCAAATATCATTTTTATTTTGATCAGAACCAAGCAAAAACTTTATTTATTTATAAAAATTAATAATAAATGATATACAGAAAAATCAATCCCCATAAAGAGAAAATCATAATTAAAAGGCAATAAAAAACAGTCGAGATTTTTTTATTTCATCTTTTTTAAGAAACTTTGTACAACATCCTATTTCTAAATTTGACAGAATGACGCGTGGTTACCTTACTTTTCTTTCAAAAAAAAAAATTTTTTCGTCTTTAAATAAAATAAATAATTCTTATGAATGTGAATTAGTGAATTAATGAATCATAATTAATTATAAACTAATTAATTTATCTTTTATAATTTATAAACCTATACAATTTTTCTTGAATGTGTTATGGCTAGAACACAACCACAAGCAAAGCGTAGACCAGCTGCAGTAAAAAAATTACCAAGACAGATTACTCCATCAACAAGTTCACATGTGGCTATAAAAACTAGACGTAAAAATTTATTTTTATGGTTTTATAACATTGAAACTTGAGAAAATTTATCATTTGCTATAAATCAATTAAATATATGTGTGTGTGTGTGTGGAGGAATAATTAAATAATATTTTATTACTATTTTTATAAAATAAAAAGCTGGTGATCCTATAAGACCATCAAAACCAAGAAGATACAAACCTGGTACAGTAGCTTTAAGGGAAATCAGACAGTATCAAAGAACAACAAATCTCCTTCTCAGAAAACTGCCTTTTTCTAGAGTGGTTAGTGATCAGAATAATATAATTAAAAAATAAATTTTAATAATAATTGATATATATATATGTAGGTTCGAGAGGTTGCCATGGAAATACTTCAGCCAGATTCTCAGGTAGGATTTAGATGGCAATCCACGGCTATTTTGGCACTTCAAGAAGGTAAATTATTTATTTTACTGTTAATTGGAATTCTTTGTGTGTGTGAATATATAATTAAAAATTTTTTTTTAAATAGCCACTGAAGCATTTTTGATTCATTTATTTGAGGATGCGTATGTTCAATTAAAATTTTTAATCTATAAATAATAATATTGTTTTTAATAATAATAATATAATAAAAACAATATCCTTCTGATTACTAATTAGAAATTTATGTGCCATCCATGCTAAACGAATTACATTAATGCAAAAAGATATTCAGTTGGCCAGAAGAATTAGAGGAGTATGGGGAGGACTTGGATAGTTAGCATGTCAATTAACAGATGTTTGATACAAAATATTAGGAATTATTGTTAATAATTGAGAATCTCTATATTTGAATGAAATTAATTTCAAAAATAATTTTTTAAATCAAATTATAATAATTAGTCTTTATATGATATATATTTGCAGAAAATGTACAATAGAATTATCATATTAATATTTATAATAAAGCAAAATGAAAAAAAAAAAATTTTTCTTTAAAATTGATCAACCACTAAGCATATAAGAATTAGATGATGATGAGTGGAAGATCAATCAATCATTGTTAGTATAATTGAGTAAACAAATGATAATAAAAGGCCATGCATACTTCTTTTTATCAATCAATTTTCTCATTTATTTTATATATGGGTATGCTTGCAACAAAACCAGAAAAAGTGAACATTGGTACTACCAAGAATTTTAGGGATCAATGTTTGTTTAATATCACAATTGTATTACAATGTAATTTGTCTAGACAAAAATAGTTAATATGAAACTCATTTACATCAGGTCTACTATGGAACCCAAAAATTATAGCACCATTAGAAGTATTTTGAAAAAGGAACAAGGTGAGAAAATTGCTCCTTACATTTTTAAATTAGCAAATACCAAATCTTTGCAAACATATTAAACAAAGAAAGAATTACCTATGAAATTTATCAAGAGGAAAGAGTTTTCA